TGGGGGCACTGCCTCTACCATCCAAACAAAGGAAAAAATTTCCCCTACACCAACACCGTACTTTAATGTCAAGATACCAGTAATAATGGTGCTAATAATAGTACTAATGTTAGAATGCTACCACTGCTACTATTGTGATTTATAGAGGCCACTCTGTGTCAGGCACTCTAGGAGACAACTGGGGCTCAGAACAGTTACAGTCACACTGCTAGAGTGGAGAATCAAGGTTGTTATTTTTCCCACTGCATATACGTCTGCTCAGATGTGGTTCTTCTTTCCTCCTTCAAAGCAGCCCTTTATGAAAGGAGAAAGATAGGAGAGAGTTAAGAGTTGGCAGGGTGAGGGAACAGGGAATGCCCAGCCCACAGCAGGCAACAGATAAATGGTTATCCTGTGCCCACCCTCCCAGCTTTCTCCACCTGGCTGGGCAATATTCTTGCTCATTTCTCTTTCTCATAGATGGCTGGGGCCAGGTTCCTGCCTGGCAGGTCCTCAACAATGAGGTCATCCCTCTCCCCTCAGGAATGTGCATGAAATCTCATTAACTCCTACCAGCTGGGCCTGATCTAGGAGAGGATGGACACAAATTATGCAGAAAGGGGGTGGGGGAAAGCCAGTCTCCATCATGTTCCTTCTCCCTCCTAATGGCAACTCAGGGTGTAAAGGGTTAGGTGGGGGGAGGGAGAGGGGGCTGGGAAGCCTAGGGAGAACATTCCAGATGGTGGACTACTACGTGCAAATTGGAGAGTGACTGCCCTTAACCTTCCCCAAGGAATGTCACAGTCACACACACACACACACACACACACACACACACACACCCTGACCCTGGTCCTGACACCTGTGTAGGCCTAGACAAGCTGGAATTTATTTGTGGATCACAACCAGCAAGGACCTAGGGAAAGCTGAAGACAGGGATGAGATAGGCCAGTGGGCAGGATTGGAGCAGGGTCCCAGCCCTGCAGCCTAGGATTTGCCCAGGGAGCCGACATGACCCTGCCCTACTAGAACCAATGCTTATTAAACACTAACTAGGCACAGACACTGTGCTAAGGGCTCTAACAGGCATTACCTCATTTACACCTAACAACAAACAGACTTGTTATTCCCATTTTACAGATGAAGACCTTTAGGCCCAGAGGGTTTGAGTGACTTGAAAGATTATACAGGTAAGTAAGTGGCAAATTCAAGAGTGAGCTGGCCTGTCCTCCTCTGAAAATAAACTGGGAAATGCAGGCAGTAGGGAGCATGAAAATGGATCCAGATGGGATCCACATCAAAGCCACTCAGAGCTCTGCATTGAAGATCTTGATGTCTGGGTTCCTATCTCACGTCTACCATCAGTGAGTTGTGTGACTCCCAGTTGAGCATTCATACACTTCTCCGAGCCTCCAGTTACCCATCTGTCAACAGAGCAAACAGGTGGAAGCATCAAATGAGGTAATTTAAGTAGAAGTACATGTAAGATATAATTAATATTATATTAATTTGGCCCCAGATATAATTTGGCCTAAAGTGTTGGCTTGGGTAAAGAAACCAAGCTTCTAGGGAGGGAAGAAGCACCAAATCACCAACACCATTAGTTTGCTTTTATTAAGTAACTAATAACAAAAATAGCAACCATTTAGTACATATTAATTGTATGCCAGTCACTGTGTTAAGCATTTATTCATAATTTTTGTCTGATCCCAACAAAAGAAATGGAAATCAGGGGCAAGGGAGAATATAGGGCAGGCTATAGAGCCCAGAGCTTCCAGCCCCCATCCAGGTCTGAAGGGACTACAAAGTGACCTCCACCTGAATTTAGAACCAGAGCAATTTCTGTAGCCAAAGAGAAAAGGCTTTTTTGCACTAATACTAATATACCATAGCAGATACAAGGCTTATGTGCAATCCAGCCCAGGACTGAGGGACTGACCAGGAGCCCACCCCAGGGAAGAGATAGGCTGATGAAATCCCAGCAGCTTTAGTCCCTAGAGACAGACCTCCTAGCCCTATAGCCCAAAGGAAAGAGAGGGAAGTGGCCTTGCAAAGTCTGAGCCATGTGGCCAGGTAGTCTCTGGCTGGCTGCATTCAACTGAGGAAAGAGCTATGTGAATCCTCCAGTTCTAGGTTCTGGGTAGGCTCCCTCATCACCCTGGGTCAGAGAAAGGTGCCTGAAAGGCACTCTAGTATGGACTGAGCTGAGGAAAAGAAGGTTAAGTTCACTCTTGGGCTAGTGGAGAAGAGATTTCCACACCCCTAAATGTGATGGTGCTGCAGCCATCCCTCTGGGAGTCATGGAAAGAAAGAATTAAAATGAGAGACATGGATAATAAAGAGCTGGAGCAAGCCTGAACACACAATTAGACTCTCACAGGAAGGAATGTGGGCCTGGCTGGGAGCTCATATAGGACCTTGGGCGGCAGGCTGCAGCTTAGTCCTGATGCTAAGGACTGCGGGGACACACCACTGTTGGCCCTCGAGCACAGAGGACTGTGTCAGTGGCTCTGCTGCCCTTCACTGTCTGAAGCTTCAACCTCAGGGCTGCTCTGGCCTTTGCAGTAAGAAGCTCTGTGTCACTTGTGGATCAGGTCCTGGGTTCTCACAGCTGGACTTAGATATAACAAGATTAAAATCGGTTTTTAGAGCCCTGCTTCTATCTAAGACTTGAAGATGAAAGGTACCCAGTAAGACTGCTGGACTCTGCTTTCAGACCTTCTGGAGAGAGGAGAGTTGACCCAGCTTGCCCAAACTTAAATCCTTGCTCCCTGCCTCTCGCCAGCAGGAAGGAGCCACTACTGCACACCTGGGCTGGAGAATCTAAATCACTGAGCCAGGTCTGTCTGCTACTTACCCTTAACCCCAGATTCCTGTTCTATCCCCCTTGTATTATCCCCACTCTTCAGTCATATCTAATACTTGTAATTTCCCTCATGTACCCCACATTCTACACACATCCCTGCAGCACTCCTCATTCTACCTACAATGTTCTTCTCCCTTTATTCTCCTGGTGAACTCCTACTGTGCTTTCAAAACCCTGATTAGAAGGCCCCACTTCTGTGAAGCCATTAATCACCAGAGCTAACTACTCTTTTCTACCCTCATCCTGGCCCTTGGACAGACTTCTCTTGAGGCATGAGTCATAAAACAGGTACTTATTTGTGTAGTTGTCTGGCTCCCCTATTAGCCAAGGGGCAAAACTCTCAGCACCTGACACAGTTCCGACACATAGTAGGTGTTTGGGATGGTTATTGAATTGAATGAGGGAAGGGAGCATGCTGTGAGCAGGAGGTCTGGACTAACTTTGCACCACTGAGCATAGCTGGGTTCAGGACCATGGAGGTCTGGCAAAGACGGGGGTTGGACGGAAGAGCAAACTGAATTTGGTGGATACCTGGGTGGGATCCACAGCTCCTCCCACTTGCTACCTTGGGGCTTCCATGCAGTGGACAAGTCTGGTTCCAGGAAATACCAAGAAGCCCCTGACTGTGCCTAGCCTACAGCCCTCCTACCCCCAGGACTGGAACCCAAGCCTGTATTTATCTCCTAACTAGGGTTTTAACTTTCTTAGTCTTTGGGAGGGGAAAACCAGGAGTGTTCTCACCATGTGACAGGTGAGAGCCCTGAGGCTAGGAGGAAATTGGTCAAAGGCCATCCTTGGGGTGGGCCTGAGCCAAGAGAGATACAGGCCCGTTCTGCATAGACAGAGGAGCTCCTGGGAGGACCTCCTGCCGAGGAGCTCTCTCCTAGGCAGAGAGACCACACCCTCCTGACAGTAAGGAAAAGAGAGACTTCAAAAATGGACCTGGATCCAATTCCAGCTGTGGCATTTCAGGCTGTGGGACAGCTGGCTTTACCTAAGCCTTCTCAGTAGAATAAGACCAACAAGAGCAGCCCAATCCAGCAGCCAGCTTGGCTCACAAGAGGCACTGACAAGAGGCTCACCCCCTCACACACAAATTTCTAGCTTTCCCAGCCCTGGCCAAACCCTAAAGCCTATGGAGCTGGGGCTGGGGAAATAGATTTGTCCTGGTGTAACCAGAGACCATTTGGAGGCCCAATGCCAGAGTACCAACTGGGGCCTGCCCTAGGCCCCTTCTCACAGCTGTCAAGGGGAGGCTCAGAGACAAAACAAGGATGGGGTGGGCATAGGTAGGGATGAGTCTGGGAAGGGTGAGGGGGGATGGTGGCTCCATGTTGTATGAGAGACCAGGCCTAAGAATACCCTGCAGACTGATCAAGAAACTTCACATAGATGCAAGTTCTAGTTCCTGCCATGCCACTCACTGACACAATCAGCAAGTGCTCTGGCGAGCTGGGGGAGGCATGGACTACTTTCTCCAGAGTGAGCAAAGCCCAGATTGTGAAGGGCCTCACAGCCTCAGGGCTCAGACACTTCTCTGAGGGCTACAAGTCTCTCCTGGAACATTTTAAGCAGGAATACGGTCTAGTCAGATTTGTTTTTAGAAAAATCACTTAGGTTCAAGGATGGAGAGCTGCCTGGAGGGGACACGACTGGGGCAGGGAGGCTAGTTAGTCTGTTGCAGCAGTTCAGGTGATGCTTGTGGCTTGGACCAGGGTGGTGACACTAGAGACAGGAAGGAGCAGCCATACCTGAGAACTGTCCAGGAGGAGGAAGTGAGGAAAAAGGAAAACAGTGCAGCTCAAAAGCAGGGCTATATGTTGCCTAGTGCCAGAACAGTGTGTAGACACAGTAGATTCTCAGTAAATGCTTACTAAACCAAAGGAGAAGCAGAGGTGGAAGACTGTAGGAGCTGCAGCAGGAAGGCTTGAGGATAAAGAAGAGTATGAGAAGGGGGTTATAGTGGGTACTAACGTGCCAAGGCTTAGAGAGAATGGACAAGGTTTGTTTAACTGATCACCATATCCTAACCCAAGAAGTCTGTGAAAGGAGAGGAGAGAAGGTGCTGGTGGAGCATCAGGAGTCCAAGGAGGAGTCTGGGGTTCCTGAGTCCCAATGATACACACACACAACTTAGCCCTGGAGCTCATGATTCTCATACCAGGGCAGCCCTCTCCACAAACACTGTCTTCCCAACAGGGCCACAGCCTGCCAGTTGTGGATGGATGTATATTGGGGCCAGAGCTTTTACAGAATGCTTCTTCTGATGCTCAGAGAAGGCCTTCAGACTCTCCAGGAACTGGATACCCCCTTCAGAGCCTAGGAATGGAGCAGAGAGATGGGCAGGTGCTTTCAATCCTGCTTTAGAAAAATCGGTTTCATGATGTTTATTGCAAACTGCAATTTAGCAGCTCTATCCAGGGGCTCTCTGTGTTGAATTACATATAACATGGTGTCAAGAGGAAGAAGAGAAGGGAGTAAATATGATTTGCTCCTTAGTCTTCTCCCTGCTGGGTATTGCAAAGGTCAGAGGTGAGAAATGGAGCACAGCACAGGGAAGGAAGGGAAAGCCCAGAAACTATCTTGTGACATCACACACCAAACCTAAGCCAGCATGGTCAGCCAGAAAGCAATACGTGCCCCTGGCCACAAGCTCAGGTCCAGCCTCTCATGGTGTTCTCATCTTCAGGGACAGCCAGATGCTTCAGCCAAGACTGAGAAATCATTCAACAAAACCTTCACAAACCTCCTAGATTCTTATCTTTCTGAGGCCCAGAGAGACTGAGTGACTTATCCCATCCATCATGGAGCAAGTTGAAAGGGGCTGCCCTGTATGGACCCCAGTTCTATTTTCCACCACTGGGGCTAATGCTCCCAGGGCAATGGCCAGGTAGGTCTAGACAGAGGTGGGCTTAGACCACAGCCCTCTGGTTTTTTCAGCTTCTCAGGACTAGATTGATTTGGTTTCCTCCAGTATCCCCATCCAAATCTCACAATTCTCATCTCTGATCCTTGTTCTCCAGAGCTCATAGGGCAAAGAGCCAATTAGTTCATTTGCTTATTTAATTGGGAAGAGAAGAGGAAGGAAATTAAAATCCTCAAGAGGAATCTTCCATGCAGGACCAGAATGAGACAGAATGAGAAGTACAGACCCCCATCTCTGAGCACCCCTTAGCCTGCCCTGTGTTCCCATCCCCCACTCCTGTCTCCATGTCTCAGCTCCCAAGATGGGAGCAGAGTCTGGGATAATAGGGCCCTGCGAAACCAAAGTATGAGTTCTGTCCTGCTCTAACTGGGACAGCTTCTTTCCAACTGGAGTGAGGTAAGGAGAGGGACTGTAGGGAAGGGGTGGGGGTTAGGACTGGGCACTTCCTCAGGGTCTGATTTCCTTTTGTTTTGCTCTGACTCCCTGAGTCTTCTCCCTCTCTCTCTCCCACTCTCTTTCTTTCTCCTTCTCTGCCCTGGTCTCTTGGCTTCAGATAAACCCCTCCTCCAGGGGAGCCCAGGAAGTTTGGCCAGGTTCCCGAGAGGTACCATGACCATGGCCCTCATTCTTGGTATGGCTCTTGCTGTCTCTTTATCACCTGTGGCAGAAGCCGCCTGAAAAATGGATAGTGACAGGTGAGTATCGTTAAGCCCATCCATCTGCCCACCCACACTCCCCTCCCTATTGGCCCAGGGCTTCCCCAACCTAAAAGGTCTTATTCCCTCCCAGGCCCCTGGCAGGTGGGGGGGGCCACTAATCCTTCTGTAGGAAGAGCTGACCCTTAAGAGAGCTTGCTGTGTGCCAGACACCCTCAAGTGTTTACTCTGAGTTACTAAAGATGCATTTTACCCTCCCAGAAATTCTGAGAAGCGGGTGTACAATTATTCACTATTTACGGATGAAGAAACTGAGGCACATAGAGGTTAAATATATTACACAAGCTCACCTTCTCCCAGCCACTGACAAGGGGTGAGAGCAGGACCCAGGCCAGGGTGAGGTAAGTGGGGCACTTGCCCCTGGCACAAAGTTTAATGGGATGCCAAAACCTCAGTCATCATGATAATCTTACCTTTTAATAAAGGTAAGATTAATATTGCTGATTTTTCCTTTTGCCACGGGTTCTAATATAGCTTGGGATGGCACTATTACTGATCCCATCTTTAGTTGAAATGGTATTTCATTCACCATGGATTTTTGTATTCATTTTAATTTTTTAAATGTTACATTAAAATATTATTTATCATAATAACTGAGACTTCTGGTGTTCTCATAAGCTTTGCACCTGAGCCTCACCCCCCTCACTCTTATCCTGGTGAGGGCCCATGTATATCCTCTGGATTTCTGACTGTCCTCTATGCTAGGACACTAAAAACTCATATGGTTCCTGTACCCAGGCTGGAGGGAGGGACAGGCTGGGCTGGGCTGGGCTGGAGGCAGAGACATGTGAGAAGGTAAGAGACGCACTCTTAGTCACTACCACATTATGCTGAGTGACCATACCCCAAACTTTGACCACTTCGGTGGCCACTTGGAAGCAGAGTCCCTATGAGTAGGACTCAGAGACCAGCACTGTCAGGTGACCTGGCTAGGGCAAAGACTCCCATGTGAACCCCATTCTATTCCCCCAAGACTGCCTGTCCCCTTTCCCAGAAGCTGAAGCCTTGTCCTGAGGACCTCCAGGTGGGCCCAGGTCCCTGGAACAAGGGGGCAGGAAGAAAAAAATGGGAGGTGGCCCAGGGAGGGGTACAACCTGAAGGCAGAGAGCCCTTCCTCCTGCTTGAGCCCCTGAACAGTTCTCAGCACATCAATAGCTCTGGCTGGTTCCCACAGGCCAGGGCTCAGGCTTTCCCTCTACCCTACCTGAAGAAGTGACAAACTAGGCCCCTCCCTACCCTGGGCCCCAAAGGATGCCCTTCCTTCACCTCTCACTGCATTTATTCTCTAAAAGAAAATCACCCAGGACCTAGCAGCATTCTGGCCATGTACTCCCAGCAGGAGAACCCACAGAGTTGCAGGTTCAGATGTACTTGTATCTTCCAGACAGTCAGCAGTGCAGCAAATGCCAGGATAGGGTACATAGGAACCCAGGAGGGGACCCCAATCAAACTGGAGTTGTCTTAGAAGGCTGTCTGGGTCAGGGGCATGGAAGATTCTGTAGCTGCTCACCTACTTCTCTTCCAGATTCTCCACCTGAAGCTGGGGAAGCTGCCACTGCAGCAGGAAAAGGAGAAAGAGCAGGAGTTGCCCTGCAGACCCTCTATTATGACCTGGGGCCCTTCTTCTCTCATGATCCTTCAGTAAGAACCATTGAACCTCAAGGACAGTGCTCCAACTCACCTTCATGCAGCTTCCCTAGAAGGAAAGAAGATAGAGGAAGCAGAGGAGACTGAGGAGGCAGGACAGGGACAGCTTGGGGCAGGGGGAGGCCCCTCAGAGTTGCTCCAGTTACTCTGCAGTTACTCTGGGAAAAGCAGGTATGGGATGCTGACAGACCAGGAAAAAAGTGTGGGCTTTCTGATGAGGCAGAACCCCAATCTGATGCCCAGCTGTCTCTCCCCAAACCCCACTCCCATATCAGTCCCCAGTCCCCAATCCCACCAATGACCACCAGAAAACCAGCCACAACCCCTCCTCCTGGCCCCACTCCCAAGTGCTTAGAAAGCCAGCATCCCTTTGAATGGCTGCCACCTCTGCCCATAACTCTGGCCTTTCAGCAGATTTGGGGATGGAGGTGGCACACATACAGTGCTGGCTCTGAGATCTAGGCCAGACCACCTGGGCCCAAAGATAATAGTCTCTCCTGGCATGAGTGGGATGGCCAGGTCCTTGTCTCCACAGCACAGCCATCCTCCTTCTCATCTGGAAGTGCCGAAGTGAGCACATGTTGAAATGTTAAATCCTACCCCAGGAGGCAGCATTCCTATTCCAGGGTGCCAAGGCCAGAGAGCCAACCTAGTCCCCATTTTTATTCAGAAAGTAAGAAGACCGCCAACTGTTTATTATTCCTCAACCAACCTAGAGACTTGAAAGTAACTTGAAACCCACTGAGGATACAAGCTGTATCTATTTTTCAAACAGCAGCTAGAAAGCCTCTTCCCATCTGAGAATGTACCCTTCACCCCCCACTCCCACATCCCAGGCTATATTGCACAACCTTGTTATTTCCCGATATTCGCTCTGTGAAAGTACCTTGCTAAGACTTTAAACACTATTCCATTTAATCCTTATAACAATCTATATAATAAATTCTGTCATTGTACCCATTTTGATAGCTGATAAGGAAACTGAGGTTTAGTCACACATCCTAGCACCCCAGGAAACATATTCTGCTTCAGGCCCCCTGCTGGAAAGGCCACTGTGCTTGGTGGATAGATAAGAAAACAGGTCTAGTAGATCTTAGAGTCTTATACAAAATCACCCAGTGAGTAACTGGGAAAAGCATCATTCAAAGCCTTGGTCCTCTGGCTTCCAAGCTTAGGTCCTAACCACAGAGCAGCCACTGGTGACCAATTTACCTGAAGTCAAAGGTATCCAATAAGGTTTGTAGAGCCTTAGGCTGGGTCCTGGCAGATGCAGAGTCCTCTTTAGCCTCAGACTTCTTATGCTCAGCAGAAGGTCCAGCTCTGCAGCTTGGCTGCTTCTCAGCCCCAGGGGCCTGGAGAGCAGACAAGGCAGCCCTGAGAGCTTGGGTTCAGTATCTTGAGTTGGGTATCAGGTGCCACTTTGGGTCACACAAATACCAGGCAGGGTCAACTCTCTGAAGAGCCTTATTTCACTTTTCCCTCCCCCAGGACGATGAGAAAGAACATTATTCCCAGGCCTAAAAGTGGGTGAGGTAGGAGTCAGGGAGGGCAGAGAGCCTAATATTTCCAGAAAGGAGAAAGCTATATGCCCTTAGGATTCTCCAAAGCAGACTTCTCCCTCAGTTTAGCCCAAAGCCAAGCATCAATAACCTTGTCAGAGCCCCAGGTTGAAGGGGAAAAGAGAAAGAAGGGGCTTGAGGCACAGAGAAAGAGGTGAGATGATGGAAGTTAGCAATTTGGAAAGTCATGGAAGACTCCAGTGCAATTCCCTGAAGAGTTGGCCCAGGCTCAGCATAAAAATCACTGTGATATAATGGGACAGCTGCAGCTTGCCCTAATCCCCACTAACGACTTCTCTCCATCTACTCTCTGACTGCTGGCCCCTCAAGCCTGGCATGCACAGCTCTCCTGTGGGACACAAGAGGAACCAGGCCAAGCCTGGAAACTCCAGTTCAAGGACATCCTCTACCACTTTACTTTTCCCTCCAGGCACACTCCTCCAAACCCTCTCTCATACAAATCCCACACCTAGCACATAGCTCTGACCCAGTGCCCTCCCTAACAGCCCTTTCTCCTGGCCTCTGCTCATAGTGAATTGATGGAAGTCCTGACTGAGCTTATGTATTAAAGAGACACAAAACCACCTGGGACAAAGAGGGGAGTGAGCTAACCTCTACCCACCAGCAATGTGATGAGAATGACTTGTGGGGTGGTGTAACAGTGGTCAACTCACATCCTGGGGAGGTGCTGGTGTTGCTGCCTTTCAGCTTAGAGAGCAATTGCTGGGCCAGGACAAGATTTATCCCCAGCACTCAGGTTTGTTTGTGGTGTGGCTTGTATACAAGTCACATTATTGATGTTGTCATCAATTCTCCTTCCCAACAAGTAGTGAGAGGGAGTCAGACAGAAAGCATGCACTGTTCAGCAAGGCAGGGCTTTGGAGGGGAGTGGGAAGGCTTTAGGAGTTCCAGGGTGCCAGCAAATAGAGGCTCATCCAAGTTCAGTGGGCCCCAGGCCCCATGCTTGCACACATATCCAAGGGCACTAACTAAAGCACTCAATTTCTGTCAAGGTCTCTGGGCTAGGAATTCACTCAGGCAGGTACAGTTTGAAAAGCCGGGTGGCTCTAGGCTAGACTTCAGGGAGCACTTCCAGAGGATCCAAAGAAGAGGTCTAGAAGAAGTAGTAGGAAGCAATATTGCCTTATACTTAAGGAGAGGAGTTTCCATTTCTTCAGTCTTGTGAGGACAGAGAGCCCAGACTAGAAGCAGGAGACTGAACACTATGATCATTGAAGGGATGGGGTTCTGAAACTGTTTTGTCCCTTCAGGTCTCCCAAGGAGACACAAGATGGAATTAGACATGCAAAATCATTGGAGGAACACCCGGAAGGCTCAAAGAGGGAGCAGGAGTAGGCAGAGAGAGACTTTAGCCCACAGGTGGCAAACACAAGACCTGCAGGCCAAATCTAGCCCTCTACCTTGTTTCTACCCATTGTCAGTGCCAAGCTCTTTGTCCCTAGTTAAGGAGTAGTTACATTTATACAATCCTAAAATTAAATTCAGCTCTCTGAAGGCAACTGCGAGGCTGATATGGCCCCCTAGTGTAAATGAGTTTGACACCCCTGCTTTAGCCCATGATGCAGGTCTGACACCTAGAAGATGAAAGGGGGAGGGAAGGAGGATTGGGTTGCAAGAGTCTCAGAGAGTCACACATTCTCCAAAAGTTCTGGGCAGGCCACAGTTCCCATTTGAGAAGTCTGGGCCTGTACTAGATCCCCATCACATTCAGCCATTGGTGGGAATAGCCTGGGGGAATGTGGTCTCAGCACAAGTGCTGTAGGAACCCAGAAAACAGCAGTTTGGGCTGTAGGTAGTCATGCCGCCCAGAGCAGATATGAGCCATAGATGTCCAGAGCTGCCACCGTCCACCTTGCTCCATAATTGGTGGGCATCTCTTCCTGATGGGTGTTGCTCTACTAGATCTTAGGTCCACAACTGGTACTCATGTTCTCTTTTCCATATTCCTATGAATTCCTCTTACTCAACCATTGCCTCAGCAGGTCTTAGTTGCTTACCTGGTGCTATGAACCAAATCTATATTCATAAGCGCTCTGAGCCCTTGATCATCATACTCTTTTTAGGCCAGTGCTTTTGCACTTGCTCATTTACCATTAAAGCAGAAGCCCAAGTAGTAACCTATGCCCTACACATATCTCTCCTGCCCCACTGTCTGACAGCAGCCTGACCTCCTACAGACCAAAGCCAATTACCCACAGTTGGCCCCAGAACACAAGAAGCCCAAGTGCCCTGGCAGCAGCCTGAGCTTCTATTTCAATGGAGCACTCCATCCTGCAGATCTCAGAATTGTGGGGTGGGAGACACTGAATCATTGGCAGCAATGGTGAGTGGGGCCACTCTTGTTTTCATCCCTCAGTTCCTGCACCCATACTTTCTTCCTTTTAGGGACACAGCACCCTATTAGAGGCCTTCCAGAGTACTTCACAAAGCTGGCACTTCTGCTGGCATTTAGAAGACTGTTTCAGCTGCTGTATTCAGGGCTGCCATTAAGCCTATGGTAGTCAACAGCAGTTTTCTAGGATCCATACAGTTTCTTCAGGGACCAGATTGATGAATTAAATGGAGATAAAGTAAAAACGACCTTCCCTGCACCCTTTAGGGATTTAATTACCCTACTCTCTCACCGACTTCAATCACTTTTATTTGCATCTTTAGCTGTTGGGGGCTCTTTTGGACATTTTCGCTTGGCTCTTGTCCCACAGACCAAGGGACCAATGTGGTGTTAACATGTAAATCCAAATTCTGCCCTTGATACTGGGGAAATGCCCTGCCCTTTAGAAGTGAATTTGTCCTATTTTTGGGGGTCCTGACCAGGGTGTTGAATCCCATATCCTATGAATGTGCCACTAAGTCAATGCATTCTTATTTATTCAGACTTTGTTCTGGCTCCCTGCATCAAGAACCCCTGAAATCCAATGCAAAAGAGCTATTTTGACTTCTGCTTGGACATGCTAGTTAATTCCCACCACTCCTTTCTTATTAGGTAAAATCTCCCCTCCCTCATGAGGTCCAGCTGTCCTGAGCTCGGTCATGCTGAGCTTTCTCCTTAGTTATCTTCCAGGCAGCCAGGAACCAAGGTGGGGCAGCTCCCAAGGGGATGCCTGATGCCTTGCCAGGAAAGGCCTCTGTGATGTCTTCCAGCATGGAATGGGTTAGATCTCATTAAGAGAAGGCAGGCCACCTCTGCTTGATCTGAAGGACACATCTTCAGGGGCCTCCGTCCATTTATCCTTACCTCACTTTTAGAGTCCCTGATTTTCCAGCCAGAGCCCTCATCTTACCACGACAAGTCTGTGTCAGCTGAGCATCTGTGATTCTTACTCTCCAGTCTTGTGCCTGTTTCTCTGCTGTGTCTACTTCTCTACCACAGGAGAAGATAGGGCTTCTTTGTAAGCTATCTAAGAGGATGTCTGGCTCTTACATTGAGCCTCAACTGCTGATGGCCCTCAGTTTTTCATTATCTCTCAATACATGCCAATATAGCTAAACAATAACTAGTCGACTCTGTTGCCCTTCTGGCATTGTCTCCTACACATCTCAAATGCCTGAAGGAACCTGAAAGAGAAGTACCCTTAACCAGGAGGTTCTCTCAGGCTACCATTGCTGAAAACATCAGCAGGGACTCTCCATGCCCTACTTTCCACTCAGGGTGGGGGCCTCCTTGACACCAGGCAGTGAGTGAGCCAGACCCCAAACTCCATTTTATCTTTTGCTATCTATTTTCTCAGACCACTTCTGGTATCATTTGTGTCAGTTTGAGGTCTCCAGGTGAAACAGCAAGACAAGACTTGATGTACCAGAACTTCATTAAGGGAAATACCTGTGAAGGGTAATGGGTAGCGGACAGGAGAAGGCAGGATAGGCTTCAGACACAGGTCTGGCCCTGAAAATGGAGAGGGAAAAGGAAGGAGAAGCATGTGAGAAAAATCTCAGACAGCAGCAAAGCTCTGAAAAAGCTTTGGTCAAGCCAACAAAGAGTCCTCAAGCCAGAGTTGCCCACTAAAGGAGTCTCACCCTGTAGGACAGAGTCTGCATGAGTATCCTAACTATGCTCATTAGTGGGAGCAGCTAGGGGAAGTGGGTCTCTGCAAATGTGATGGTGGCTCCAGCCAGGCAGCAGCTGGGCTATCAATCAGCAGTGCTCCCCACAGTAGATCTGAGTACTGCACTTCCATGGCTGCCAAAGCTACAGACAGCACAGGGAGCATGGGAACCCTGGGGCACAACTGACCTTGGGATGAAATTGATGATTGAGGTTGCTAAGAAGCCAGCTAAGGGTGTCCTTCTACTAGTTCCCTCAACTTATGCTGGGAGGTGTATGCCTTCTGGGATAAAATGAGACCAGAGTAAGGCTGGGGTCCAGGGTCAGGGATATGCCTGGCCTACAAGGTGCTGGCTCTCTGACCTGTCACCAATGCTTCCCCAACTCTAAAAAGGAGTCTCAGATCACTGCTCAGTTTTCATCTTTGAGAGGATTCTATCAAGGCAAAGCACCCAGGGCATAACCACTCCCTTGGAACCTATAGAATGAACTGGAGAACACCCTTTTACCCATGAAAATGAGATGGTCCCTAACCATCTTTTGCCAACACACCGCAATCTCCCAGGCCTCCTTGGGGTCAGAACCAAGGTTGCTCCAAAGAGATGGTGTTCAGTTGATCAGTGTCCATGAAAAGAAGTTATCTGTGCACTGATGGTCCCTCTGCAGATAGCCTCAGTGAGAACCCACAGTTTGGGCAGCTCCAGGACACCCCTGGCCTCCCATCCTCCTA